AAAGAATAATCAGTGATACTAGTCGTCAAAATCTTGAACATTTGAACTGAGTCGCATATGTTTTATGACTACGTAACGAGCCGCAGCTTCAGACACTTAGACTTTCAAATTGTCATCAGTCACGCCTATATGGTGACGTAAAGCGATTCGGGCGAGTTAACAGGAACTGCGATATTTGAGTAGGTCGTTTAGAGCATATATAAACACGGTATGGGATAGCTGTCAAAGTAACCGAGACGCCATCGATCGCTGAGAAGACCACAAGAATATTATCTGTATTCTTTTATTGACCTCAATGGGGCGATTTTTGCTTACAGTTTTGGCTCTTTGCACCCTAAATGCGTCTGTGCATGGGAAAGCTATTGTGAGTCCTAGAAAACAGGCTGAGCTTATGGTAAGTGGAGTTCAAATCTGAATACTTCGTATTATATATATCAGGGAATAAACTCTTTTTGTCGCCTATATTGCACGTGTAAATCCTGATAATGATATTTGTATTGCAACTACTGGCTTCTTAGGAGCATTAGAAATTTTATCTCCGACACAAAGCTATCGTTTGTAAATTGTTAGCGGTGTAATCCTTCGGTGGTTCCTCCTTCAACTTCGCCTGTCACGTACGAGTAATTGACGCCAAGTTGCACTCATCTACCGCAAGGAATGCTCAAACAAAACTCACTTTTCCTCATTAAATTCCAAGTTTGTGAAACATCGAGAGAACACGATAGCACAGAAAGGAATGGAAGTGTTCACAATCTACCACTGTGATGGTATGCAAACCTCGACTCGCAATTCGCACGTGACTCTACCAACAATAAATGAACAACTATCTAATTAAGGGCAATCGCTTCACAGCATCATCAGTGAAGTTCTTGCCTAAGCACTTTAATTGCAAGAATCAAGAATAACATCTCCCAGCAATTTTCCTTTGAGCTTGAGATGAGAACATGAGTTTCCGCAATTCAAATTGATTGCCACCTCCAGGCAGAAATGTTGTCATTTTGCGGCATCAATTGACATGCAAAATTCCCGTTGTGTCGACTGAATATGTTTTAATTATTTCCACACGACCCAAAAAAGGTTATCATAAAAGACATTTGGAATTTTCCGCAGACTTGTTAACGGAAGTAACTCCATCGAAACCAAAACAGAGCTTGGCTTGAACCGATGGAGTCACCCAACAAACTGGGATATTTTAATTTTTTCCCCTTTTTTATATTTTCATCATTAGATACTAATAGATACTGCGATATTTTATTTTATTTTTTGAACTAATTTCTGCAGGGTTCCTCTTCGAGGTTGTTTCTGTTTCAGACGAACTTACGGTCCTGTTTCATTGTCTCAGTCTCTTAACTGAAAGGGAAAAAAAACCTTTCCATTTGCTTTAAGGGAAATTTGTTGTGACGGTATGAAGAGAAAGCTTACGAGACTGCGAACCTATTTACAGGGGATAAAAAGTTTTGTATGCCGCACAGTTATGATACATTTCCAATGTCGATGCAAATGGAAATTTTGGTTTATTATATTGTGTTCATAATATACAGCAAATACATATTCACCCTGAGTAGTTTGCACTAGAGAAAAGATCGCGCTTATGAATTCCCATCAGCGCACGCATGAGAGAGAGAAACGCGTGCGTGGAGAAAGAGAAGTTTCCTTTTTCCCATGCGCGCCCCTGATACAAGCGTTTTTCTTTTTTTTGCATCAGTCATTTAGACTTTTTAAAATTACTTCTTTTCATATGCCTTTATAAGTTCATACACATTTACTCCTTTTTTTTCTCCCGAAGGATTACATGGTAAGGTATGGATATCTGCATCAACCCGATCCCAGACTAGAAAAAGATCTTACTAACGACGATGTTACATTGGCCGTGAAAAATCTCCAACACATGAGGGGACTGGCAGAGACCGGAAGTCTTCAGGACCCTGACACTGCGGCTCTGGTAGACGTAAAGCGTTGTGCAGTGCCAGACTTTGGGCCATCGGATACCGCCAGGAGAAAGCGAAGATATGCTGTGCACGGAACGGTATGGAACAAAAAGGTACGTATTACTATCTGTATGAACACATGTTGCAACAATCTTATAACCACTCTAGCTATCCCTCAAAAGGCGTCCCCTGTAAAAGTTTTAAGTCATTATTGTGACGTCATTGTGCCTAGGATCCATGCCTCATTCTCATCTTTAGCTGTTATGCATTTTCTTGTTGAGCAGTTAAAAGTATGATTTGCTTTTATGTCGAGATGACATCCTCTGACTAAAAATTCTTCGTTAATTCGTTTCACCTGCTGCTCAGTAGGGAAGAAAATCACAAAAAAATGCCATATGAACCCAAGAGTGAAAAAGGATAGTTAGGAATAGGGAAGATAAAAACCGATTGCTGAGCTAGAACACTTAACTTTAGTTCACCCGGACTTAAAAAGGTGCCTACCCAGGGTTTTTTTTTAATATAAATTAAACTAGAGCTAAACTATTTCTGGCACTGATCTGATAAAATATTTCTTAATTTCTCCCAACAGCTGTTAACCTACAGAATCGTCAACTACCCATCAGCAACCAAGCTTAAAGTTAAAGAAGTCGACGATACAATCAGGAAATCTCTGGATTCGTGGTCAGCGGTCAGCCAAATAAAGTTCGAACGCATAACTGATAATAACACAGAAGCAGACATTATGATCAGTTTTGTGACTGGTTACCACGGAGACAGCAGACCAGCGGATGGGCCCGGGAAAGAGCTGGCACACGCGTTTTTTCCTCTTGATAACAAAGGTGTGTTTAAACTTCAAAGAATTTTCAAATTTACTGATTCGAAATGATGTCTGCCTTTCAACCATTTTCCGTGATTTA